GRRAYRCRCAMMAMRARWWTTWYWMTWKWGMRCAYATAAAGTTGATTTCAGTTTGAAACRTTTGTTAGTTATCCCTTAACACACTAAAACGGGAAAATATTATCAAAACATCCACAACACAAAGTATTAGAATATTTACCATTAAATTTTGTTATGATTTTTAATTATTGGCCAATAGCAGTGACGTTACTATTGTTSCAACTTACTAATGTTATTGCCAATGTTATATATTTATGTTTTTGTTTCTGTTTATCCTTCCTTGCTTATCATCTTGTTTTTCAATTAATTCTAATAACTCTCTTTACAGTAGAAACCCACATATAAGAACCTACATTTTTGAGAAGTAGCCTAAACACGTTCTTATATAAATGGTAGTTACCACAATTCTAGGCTACTCAGGTTCTTAAAATAGGTYCTTGATTACTAGAGTAAAGCAAATAAAACTTAGCTTCAAAACAAGATGGTTATTTGCCTATTTCCTGACCCCACCCCCATCCCCACCAAAAATTATTCATAAAAAATAATTCACTTTGCAGTAATGAGAATCTGTTTTTTTGTTTTGTTTATTGTTTTCAAATGGGTCTTCTTGTAGCTGTATTATGACTRATATGATTTTAAAAATTAAGAACCTGTTTTCAATTTTAGGCTAAATAGGTTCTTGTTTATTGGGTGTATAAAATCCATGTTGTATAGCCTAACAGGTTCTTAATTTTCAGGTTCTTATATGTGGGTTTCTACTGTATGTGAAATGTTCTGTGTTTTTGTTTAGGTTCTTCTGGTTGATGGAGGCTTGCATTTGACAATGTAGCACAGGAACAAAAGTATCTTCATGATAATTAAAACACAAAATATCATGTAGTAAGTTCAAGATTCAATTTTRATGTCTTACATTTGCAGACATTGTTGCAACACAATTTGCGCAAAAAAATTATAGCACTGTTATACTTTGAATTTGCAAAATTTTTTGGCCGAGGTAAGCTGAAAGCCAAGAATCAAGATGGTGAACATTGGAAATGAGAAATTGCGAGTGCTCTAACAGCTTCGATAATTGACAGAAACGTTGCTGAAAAATTGCGCAGTTTTACTTTTATAAGCTGAACAACTCTCCAACAATTTTTTTTTGCCTTTGATTTTACACGATGTAACGGCATCTTTGATATAATTTTACAATCCAGTCATCTGTTTTCATTTGTTTTTTCTTTTCTTACTGTGATATTTTGCCATTTAAGTACTCTGGTGAACTGAAACTCGGCTTTATCCATTAGAGTGACAAAATACACTTCTTAACCAATAGAAAGATGTATTCATATTCTACGAAATGTTTTAAAGCATAAGTCAGATAAGTCGTTGCTTCATAAATCTACTAGTGCAAATACACGAGTTTTCAAGCTTCATAATTCGCAACATCTGATACAAATATACGCATATCCCACGCGACCTTGGCCCCCTGTGTTTTTTAATGAAAAGAACTTATTTTTCATTGCATTGTGGAAATATGGCTTGTCAAAGTGTTAGAGGTATACCTGCAGGTAATGTTGTTATTATTGATTTTTAATTAGCTGTGCTTCAAAACATCGAAAATTTCGCTGAAACGTTGTACAAGGTTCTGTTTATGTTCTGCACTTTTACTGCACTTTTTCTGCACTTTTCTCAAAAAGGAAAGTTTGAATCAAATAGAAAAATTTCTAATCTATATATACGCATATCTCCACTATTAAACGTAAAACTCAAAAAAACGTTTCTTTTATGAAAACTTCAAGTCTTTTTTCACGTTATATTATTTGATTCTGTTCTTTTCTTGTTACTGATTGAAAAGCGCTTTGGAAGATTAAGTTTAGTTTAAGATTATTTGTTATTATTGTAAGTTGTAATGAAGACATAAAGAAATGACTGAACTTATTATCATTCTCCTTTAAAAAATACTCATTTTTACGACTCTTGTATTATCTTTACTAAATTACCTTTTAAAATTTTATGAGTTTATTAAAATGAGTGTTGATCGGGCGTAACTCGTAGTNATTTTTTCTTGATAGTTTTTTTCTTGAAAGTTTTTAAACCTTTTAATTAATGAAGCGAAGCACAAAGGAGAAATCTTTAGATCACAGAACTTGCTGACCGACCAAATGACGTTAGTTTGATCAAACTCATTTTTTGGGAAGACAAACGCCTTGATTTTCTTGATGATTTTCTGAAAGCTGTCATCATGTGCACTTTTAACTATGTAGACTGCACAGCTTTTAGAACTTTATATGATTCACTTAAATAAAGACCTTTTAATATCCAACTACAATTTAGCCTGTGTACATCCGTTTCTCACCCCTCAAAAAATCGGGGAGAGAACGTCGTTCTCTCCCCGATTTTTTGAGGGGTGAGAAACGGATGTACACAGGCTAACTACAATTTGAAGTCAAAACGTTTCAAAGTAGTTTGTCAGTGGACATAATTATGACATCATCCAAGATGGCGACCGTATTGGTTCATTAATCTAGTCCTCTCCGATTAGGCCCCAAACCTGTCAACTTTTATCAATACTTTTTTGCTCTTTTTAATGTAATTTTCTTGTCAGACCTTATTAGGATAAGAAATARATGGGCAGGTTTTGTCTGGTCAGCGTTCAAAGTGGTCATAGCAACCTACCTACTACATCGTTTTTGTTTGTTTGTTTGTTTGTTTTTTCTTCAAATCTTAACATGACATGTGCTCACACTTGASAGGCAAGTGAACCCTTAGCGTCTTGACTATGTCTGAATATTGTGTGTGAGGTAATTTTTAGAGCGCACTTCAGGGCCATATATATTAATTTAGTGAGGTAACGGCACTCGCGTCGTATCGGTGACGTCATCTAAAGCATGTAACATGTAACTAATGAACKCAATGGGAAACGAATCCCAATTTGTGCCACCATTTTGTTTCTGTGCTGTTATTTTGGTTTCATAACTTCAATTTTATATCATTTCTGTAGCGATCTGGACAAGAATCCTTCAAAGCAACGGAACGTAACAAAAATTATTTCTATTTGCTAGCCGCTAATGGATAAATTAACGTCATTTCGCAAATAGTATGACGTCACCAATATTAGCTTATCTGACGTCATCATTTAGAAGTAAAACTAAAAGCCGCTTATTCCGGTGTATTATACTATCGTGAATACATACATCTTCATCATCATTTTAAATTACTAATAMTATACAAGTGGGTACACTTAGCGCCTCTGAATTCAACATATTCAGCGCGCCTATTAAGGGAGCTGGTAGGCTCTTCTTGTTTACCAAAAGTTAATAGCATTTGGCAATTATTATTCCTTTTCGGCTTTTACGTACCTTGGCCTTTTAAGGTTTTGGTCCGCAGAAAGAGTGAAGCAGCGGTTAAATGATAGAGAAATAACAAAAGAGGTGAGTTCTTTCGGTTCTGACTTGTTGGTGAAACCAGAGTTATTCTAACTATTACAGAGTTGCTGTAAGAATTATACAACTTGTGAATTTGCTAGCTAAATGCTGTTATAATATTTTTTTGGTCACTCATCGCCAAGAGAACTTAACTGATTCAATTAAAGTGAATTAATATGATTTTATTATTAGGCCATTTAAATGTTAAATCATTTGAGTAAGTATTTTGTCACGTAGCAACAATAAACCGCATCAAACATCTTAAATCGTTATCACCAAAACCTCGATATTAGCAAAAGATTTGTGTGCAGCAAGCGTTCATGTTTCAAAGATCTTTCTCCAAGATTGAAGGTACATTACATCGTTTGCAAGGTTTGAAAGTATATTTCGTTTGTATGAATATAGCCATTTGTACCCTCAGCTGTTTGATAATCAGTTTTGGACGGATTCATCCTTCACCTTTATTGCTTTTTGATGACTACAATCCCAAACACTTGTTTGCCTATACCTCRTTATTTATTACCGAATACCGAGTTGCTATTAGACCAATAATATCCACGATATATATGATATTTTCATGTAGCATGTTAGTATATTGATTTTGAATTGTTCATTGCTCTTTTTCAACAGAATTAAATCTTTTATCGTGTATTATCTTCGCAATTATAAAATGTCTTATTTTGTCCTATTCACTGCCAATTTGAAATCCTGACACAAGGTGAATCAAAGTAACTTAACTTTTTCTATAAGGCCTTTTATGAAGTCTTTCAGTTTGCGATGTTTGAAAACTCTAAATGTGATCWTTCCGCCTTTAATTTTCATACGACTAATTCGATTTTGAAATCTCCATCAAGATCTCTAATTGCATCCATTCTCTCCGCTATAATTATGAGTTGAGATAACGTTAGAGCCATATTTTGATGCATCTTCCAAGGATCCTTTTTTTGAACTTGTTTATCATTTAATTGTAATAATATTTTACTTAATGACATTAATGTTGCAGTCACAGGTGTCTCAATTTTAATTTCATTTATTTTTGAACTGTTGACGTTTTTTCATTATGTCAACATCCGATTCTGAAATGAAATATCAAAAATAAAAATAAAAAACGCTTGGAATTGACAGTCTGTTTTGGGTAGTGCTTGCAATGTAGCTATTGTTCCGTATAGCTGCAGTTGAAAGGTTTTCGAAGACGGAGCTCCGATTGGCCGAACGAGATCAATTGTTGGGAATGATATGTAATAACCTTTCGAAGTCCTAAGTGCTAGGGATTTTGTATTGTATGAAAAATTAATCTGTTTTATTTTGATTAAACTACATGTATACAACAATCACTTCAAATGGGTCTTTTAGTCATAGAATCGCCGTTTCCTTTTCAATCTATTTGGGAGTAAAAAGGATGCTGTCCTTGTAAAAATGAGGTAATGTTTGTTCTTTGTCCCTTGCGTTGAGAGATTTTATTAATTTGTCTTACAATGTTTTCCTACCAAAAAACTATTTTCTGTTTGTATGTCAAAGGTTTTTTTTGCAGTTACGTGTGGCTCATCGCAATTGTATAATAATTATATCTTAATTTGTAATTAATTTGCACTAGTTCTTAGTGATTTAACACTAGTACATTAAAATGTATTTTATAGTTAGTCAGCACTGCACTTGCATCGTAATATCATGTTTTCTTAAGCCCGCTTCACAGTGGCGATTTTTGCTACGATAGATTTTGTGCTATCCCTGTGAAGAGCGGTTAGTTWGTTACCAATCGCCTTATTTCATTTTGTAATTCTATGACTTCAAAATAGCGCAACTGTAAAAACCTGAAAAATTGTCACCTTTCGTCCAGATCAGAGATAAACAGACAGAAAAGACTATTTAAAAGTGTTTATAAGTAAAACCTGTTTGTATTTAGACGACAGAAATATGGAAAACCATGGAAATAAACGAAAGAAGAACCATTGGTCACCACTCTTCGATCTACTGCGGGATTTCTGTGGCTACACAAGTTGGGGTGGATTGGGCAGAGTGGTTGGAACTAAGTTTGTGGTGTTCAAAGTATTATGGGTATTGATATTTTTAGCTGCGCTTGGAATATCGGTTTACCAGCTTATACCGCTGTTCTACAAGTACCGTAGTCGACCGATCAACACCAGAATATCATTACGTCATAACGCGGTAAGATCTACCTTCAGTTGTTTTCAGACTATTTCCCTTGTGCGCAAAAAAGGTTCTTTTATAGAGGATTTTGAAGGTGTAAACTGRGGCTKGGAATAGCCCTTGTTCCTAAAATCGGGTTGAATGCAATGGGACTGGAATTTATTTAATACAAGAAYAATAGAAATTGGGAATGGGATTGAAAACCTGAACCMAACTGATGGGATTATTTAATTATTGAGTGGGATCTGGTCCAAATATATAGAAAAAGGAAAATGGTATTCGTACCCACCCCTCCCCCACCTTCAGGATTTTCTTTATAGAAATACCAGAGTATTTGATGGTGGAATTATGCTCAATCTGAGATGTTTGGAATTGTTATTACCATCATTGATTTTTTTTTTTTTTTACAAAAGCATATTTTTAACGATACGATAATGCATTAAAGACCTTAAAAATCATATAGCGGTGTTAGATTGACCAGCATTTTTCTTCATCAACGTTTAYTGGAATATAGTGGTTCATCCCTATTGTTCGTGTATTTAACGGAGCTCCTCCCAAATGGCACTATATCTTGACTAAGCGTCACCTTGCAAATTCTTTGATCCTACGTTGTGGGCACTAATATATTCTCAATATATCCTATGTGATCAAGATCTATTTGAYTGTTTTTTATTTATTTGCTAGACGCTCGAATTTCCAAGTGTCGTGTTTTGTAACTTCAACATGATTCGTAAATCGCATATTCATAAGCTTCCTGAGAGTATCAAAGAAGTGTTGAGTGAATACATAGGAGGTTAG